CGATGCCGGTATTTTCGATGATCTTTAGTAATAGCTCATGGTCTACGCTGTCAAACGCTTTGGCAAAGTCGATAAAGCAAAGATATACTTTTTGTTGACATTTCTACATCTTTGGATAAGGACTTGTAGACTAAAGATAGCTTCTCTTGTCCCAAGGGCATTCCGAAATCCAAATTGGGATTCACTGATTTTTTCTTCACATCTATTGTATATCCTGTTGTGGATTATTTTCGTGAAGACTTTTGTAATATGATTGATGAGGCTGATGAGTCAGTGTTGATCACAGGTTTTTGCGTTTTGTTTTTTCGGCACTGCGATGAAGGTTGATTCAAGCCATTCTTTGGGTATTTCGCCTCTATCATAGATATCATTAAATAGACTCGTGAGGATATCGAGAAATTGATTATCAGTTTCACACATAAGTTTTAGTATTTCTACTTGAGTGCTATCAGGTCCAGGAGCTTTGTCGTTCTTGAGAGATAGAATAGCTTCTTCAGTTTCGAATTTCATAATTGGGGGTTCCGTATCTATCTCATTCATATTGTGTTCTTTAGATCGTTTCGAAGCAAAGAGGAGTTCGACATATGATTTCCATACCTCTAGACATTTTGATGGCTCCGAAACAATATTATCGTTAGTGTCCAGTATGAACGTATTTCTGTTGTTTATTTTCTTTGTTGTCATTTCCCTTATTTCCTTATGCATATTGCGGTAGTCGTACTTCACTTAATATTGTTCTATCTTGTCACATTTTCAGAGAACCATTTACCGCTTGTTTATTATTATTTATTAACCGCTTATTTATGCACCGAAAATTAGATTGTCCGCTGCTATTTGCTGCAAATAGTGTTTTAAAAAATGTTGGTTCTAAAATGCATAATAATTGTGTTTTGCGCAAAAGTTTTAGCATCTTTTCGTCGCCCACTGATTGAAGTTAACTATCGCGTCGATACTCAGGCGGCGGATTATTTGGCTCTTTCGGGATCTCGGCTAAATGCGGTGTAGCCACGTATTTTTGAGTGGTTTTCTTTTCGGTTAACTTTCGCACTTAAAGAATGTAACAAAAAGTAAAAATTAATAACCTGAAAAGACTTGAATAACCTAAACCGGCCCAAATTGAATGAACCTGCATGCTAATTTAGAAAAATTATGAAATTTAGCCTGAAAATGGTGGTTTTCCTCAAACTTTGCGAGTGTTTTTTAGCTTAATTTCTGGACCATCCAAAAACCGAATCAAATCCGAAGGGATGGCGATTGAATGCAAAAGTTGTAGATAATAAAAAAAGCTAAAACTTTTGTATTTAACACTTTTTGGCAATTTGCGGCGAAACGTGACCTCCTACCGGAAAACGTTCTTTGCAAAAGTTGTAGATAATAAAAAAATCTAAAACTTTTGTATTTAACACTTTTTGACAAAACCTCAAATTAGCCGTCAAAATGGCCGGTTTTCGCCAACCGAAACCGGCCATTTTGACGGCTAATTTGAGTGTTAAATACAAAAGTTTTAGCTTTTTTTATTATCTACAACTTTTACAAAGAACGTTTTCCGGTAGGAGGTCACGTTTTGCCGCAAATTGCCAAAACCTGTCTTCAACCCCTAAACGTCATCCGCATTTGTTGTCATTTCCCTTATTTCCTTATGCATATTGCGGTAATCGTACTTCCCTTCATATTGTTCTCATCTTGTCACATTTTTCCTTTGCCTCTCTAATGTTTTTGTGAATTTCACGGTACTTTGTGTTTCCGTCTTTCGTCCATCATGTCGAGGATCTCTTGTGTCATCCATTCGTTTTTTTTTTTGTTTTTATCCTTTTGCAAATATTTTTCACAATTTGCTTGTATAGAGTTTTTGAATGTATCCCATTTGCCTTGTGCTGTACTCGTGTTGTTGTTGATTTTCTTTAAATCGTTAGTCAGCTATTCCTGCACTTGTTTCCGAATATTTCTGTCGGACAGTTTCCCTATGTCTATGTTGTTGTTACAAGGTATTAAGAAGACAGAGTAATTTAGCGTCCGTCGTGTTAATGTTAAACGGTGAAATTTAGGCTCTGGCCGACCACAACGTCTTCTTGGAAGGCACCCTGTTGAAACCCAACATGGTAACAGCCGGTCAGTCCCATGCAGTGAAATTCTCCCCAGAAGATGTGGCCAAGGCGACAGTCACAGCTCTTCAGCGTACCGTTCCTGCTGCTGTGCCCGGTATCACGTTCCTGTCGGGCGGCCAATCGGAAGAAGAGGCCAGCGTCAACCTGAACGCCATCAACCAGTAATATAATGGTTTTTATAGGCGCTTAAGCACTTTAAACCAAACTGATATTCCAGATACCAAGGTAAGAAGCCATGGGCTTTGACCTTCAGTTATGGGCGTGCTTTGCAAGCGTCCGTTCTTCGTGCATGGGGCGGCAAAGACGAACAAGTCAAGCAGGGACAGGACGAGCTTCTGAAACGTGCTAAAGTAAGCCTTTTGCTTTTGCAATGCGTACTTATGTGATCTGATCGGTTGTGTTTTTCGAAGGCTAACAGTGAAGCTTCTCTGGGAAAGTACCAAGCTGGATCTGCCCAAGGCAAGGCTGGGGATGCTGGTCTCTTTGTCCAGAACCACGCTTACTAGACAACATTCTTATAATAACGCACGTACTATTGCGAGGTGTAGTTTATAAAGTGCTAGTTTTTAAAATCAGTTGTGGCATTTGGCTTTTCTAAGTTACTAGAGAACGCAGAGTTTCCAGCTCCATTTTACTGTGGATTAAGTCTTTAATCAGACTGTAGACGAATATGTTTTTATCTCTATTATTTATATGAATATTTAATTGTGGATAGCTGATTTATTTGTGAAATTGTTGTTATATTAAAGAAAATATATATAACCAAATGTTGTTTATTCGTAGACGGTAAAAAAAGCCCAGTTCATTTATTCAGTCCAACGATGCGCACAATGGGGGTTGGTGCATACATAATACAATCGCATCTCCTCTTCAGCTCGTCGAGTCTGGGCTTGAAAGAAAACTGCCTCTCTGAAAGCATAATATTCAACGAATGTAAAAAGTTGCAGACCAGACAGAAAACAGAAGAGTTACCTGTGTTGGCAAACTGGGCAATGGTGGTCTTCAGTTCTGGGCAACGTGGGATCAGAAATTACATCGGAAACTATGTGTGTCAGTTCACTAGAAACTCACCGGTTACTTACGCAATGACTTGAACAATTTACTTACTCAATTTCGTGCATAATTTTGTTCACGTAAATGCATTTTGAATCGGCATGTTGTTTGTAGTCGCAGTTCCGACACGCGTACATTAGCACTTTATTTTCCTTGTCCTCTTTAGGGTACAACATATTGTTACTGAAAAAATAAAAAAACAATAAATCCGGGCAAGATCACCACTTCAGTATATAACATTGCATAGGTTTTCAGAATAAATACGTTGTTTCATTTTATTTCATTCATTCAGAATAAATACGTTGTTACTTTTCTATTACCTACCATTCCTGGCAAAACCGAATACCTACGAAACCTGGTCCTTCACTATGCGAATCGTAGTTCGTTGCTTTGGACATTTCTGTTTTACGAAAGCACTAATATATAAACTGCACAGACTGCTCACAACTTCTGGTTCATATTTGGTTTTCCTCAACACAACACTTTAACCTATAAATCAACGATGAGACCTGATGATAACCTAAAAATCAACCACATATCACAGAGGTTACGTCTGTGATCTGTGGTGATAGATAAAGACGAGTCTGTTTTTATCTATGCTGTGAATATCAGGAGCAGGAGTTTAGCGTTACGTTATTTTTTGTTCTTGTAGATGCTTTCTACATACAAATTTTGGTCGCCCATGAAAGTTTCGATTTTACCATCCACTCAATATCGCATTCACCGTAGCGTAAAATCATTCGCCATTTTGTCCAGATAAAACAAAAAGCCTCTACAAAACTATTATTATGTATTGTGCTTCTAAGAGTTTGAAGCTTAGTTTGGCCCTTTGTCTTGGTGTCCAATGTGGAGGTTAATAAATAAAAGAAAAAAGTTACAATGCAAATGCTAAAATTGGTTCAAATAAAAACTAGTCGATCTATATCCCTTTTGGCCTCGCAACCATGTATTTCAAAATTAAATATTTCTCCATACAGATTAACAGGTATTGACTCCCATTTTACATTTTACTTATCTATTACAATGTATATATCTGTAACTATTCATAACATCTTATCTGTTAGCTTAATTGCTGATTGTTCAAGAGTTGATTTGACCTAGTCGATGGCTGTTGGCGTCAAACCATGTTTTGTCCACCAACGACCAAATTGAAAATGCTTAAGAATTGTAAGTGTAAACAAGTGAATTTCTACCTAACATAAATTACCTCTAAAATGTTAATCCGCCTAAAAGAAGGTAGTTTAAGTGGTGTTGTAAAACACCGCGACAAATAACGTCTTCTGGCGTTGTTTCATTAAATCAGCTAACGTTTCTTAACTTTCGGTGGAGTTCGGAATTTCTGAGACTTAACTATATGTACAAAAAGACGATTCAAAAACTTAACAGTATAGGTGTATCCCACTCAACAATAAAAGAAAAGCAAAACTCCACCGAACACCTAATACCCGTATTGGTGCGCGCTTGGAAGTGCAATTGTTTAACAACTTTAACTAGAGATTCATTTAAATACTTGATTACTTAAGTTATCTGAAAGACTGGATCGTTTACGGTAGAAATTACGAAGGTGCAAACACAGACACCACAGTAATTTGTACTGCACGAGTGCTTAAAGCAGCTGAGAAGCTATACATCACATGACTAAAAAATGGTCATATGTCCTTACAAATCTTCATCGCTAATAAATATTCACATTTAACGAAAACGTATTGAACACAACAGTGAAAAGCGTATTCGACTTGCTCTCCCTAGTTTGCCGCCGCCACTATTCAATGACTGACAAATTGCATCAATTCCGGCGTTCAACCAGGAAACTGAGAAGAAAGAGACGTTTTAATGTTACACAGAGCTGGTGGCCTGATGCGAAGTGCCGTGACTGTCCGACGAACAGATGGATAATTGAACTGGGCTGTACTGCATGCTGTTATAGTCGTTGCAATTCAAGTAAAGTCGCGAGCTGGTTCTGTCACATTCCGGACAGGGACACTTTTTCTTTTTATTCCGTCGGACCAACTCATAGGCACATCTAGAAGCGGATACGAATGAAATGTTTATAAAAAATCCAGTGCCAATGCAGATTCACCTTGCGTGGAGTATGTGGGAGCATGACAGCGCCTCCAGCGAATCGTCCTCCAGCCCATAAGGGGATCTACAAGCGGCACAGTTCAACGCCAGATCGTTCTGAATTTTCAGAGCCAGCTGTTCGTGGTGCAGCTTGTTGTTCTCATCCCCCAATGAATGGTAGATGCCACTCAGTCGCAAGCCAACAGCTCGCATGAGCAACTGAAGCAAAACCACTGCTTCCTCACTTGCGCCTCTCACGCCCCTGTTTCTGACTTACTTTAGCTCCAATCGATTTGGCCACCTCCAAAAGTCTGGTATTAAACTCCAAAGGCCGACAGTTGCAGATCTTGTGCTGGATCCGCAGCGCCTCTAAACATCGCGCAGCCCCGTCCATGGACTCCATTTGTATCACACGGTCCCCCATGGCAGCTGCTGAACCCATCGCTGCCTCATATTGGCGGAAAGCTTTCTGAAATATCCACATCCATTTTCGACTCGGAGTATTTCAGCGCAATCGACGGGGCTTACATTAATATCAGACTTATTCCTATAAATATCACCCATGATTCTTATGCTTCTCGCGTAGCTCGCTTGATCGCCGCATATCAGCGCTAGTCTAGTGGCTTCCTGAAATAAATCAATCATCAAATCATTTAGCCTCTGGTTTTGTCTGGAAAATCGCCACTTACCGAGCAATAGTCGTGGGCGTCTCCTAATTCACCCTGCTTGCGCAGCGCTGAGGCCATTTGAAGCAGAGCAGCCCTACGAAAACAGTCGCTTATCTATCATGAACATGTACAGGGTTATTCACGCTATACGGCACGGACGTTTGCGGCTAGCCCGTTTGTTTCTTGCAAAGTATTATTTGATGAGTCCACAGACGCCTATCGGGTGCACATTTTAAAAATATTTTTGTAATGTACCAAAAGCTCTAAAGGTATCAAAGTTGCGTTTTTTTAAATGGAATGTCCTGTATATTATTGCATTTTTGGATTCGCTCAACAAAATAAGGGTCTGTTTTAATAAGGTTTACAATACCTAAATCTTAAGGTTTTTTAAATAATACGAATTTAATCAAAATCTAACCTAATTTTCACGTGTCAAATACTTTATAAGTATTTAAGTTATGTAAGGGTAATTTATAGTGAAGTGTAACAAGATATAATATTTTATATTCCAATGATAATAAACTTACCATGTTATACAGGGTGTCCACAAATTTAAACTATTCAAATAAGAACTTTAAGTGGCTCTAACTTGATTAATTTAAATACAGCCCCATATTTTTTAACTTGCCAGGAAATGCAATTTTTAATTACCTATCGAATGGTATTAGGATGTTAATCGCTAAGTTTTCGCATTTTTACAAAATACGAAGTATTTGACACATGAAAATAATATTAGATTTTGATAAAATTCGAATTATTTAAAAAACCTTTAGACTTAGACATTATAAATCTTAGTAAATCAAACACTTATTTTGCTCAGAGAATCCAAAAATGCAATAATATATAGGGTATTTTATTTCGAAAACCACAACTTTGATCCTTTTAGGCTTTTTGGGACACTCTGTGTCACACAAAAATATTTTTTAAATGTGCACCTGATAGGCGTCTGTGGATTCATCAGATAATACTTTGCAAAAAACAAACGGGCTAGCCGCAAACGTCCGTGCCGTATAGCGCGAATAACCCTGTATATGAATGAAAATGTTCGCAAATCGTCCGTTTACCTGTGATGTCTGGAATTCAAGTCGTTCAGCTGAAGAGATCGCGACAAATCGTACGCTTTGGAGGCGTATCTGGCACTTTTCTCGGCATCCTGGAGCCTGCTGAACAGTTCGGATAGTCCCACGTAAACCTGGCAAGAACAGCGACTGTTAATGAGTAGTTCGAAACATCACCTTCGTCACACTCATTTACTTGCAGTTCCAAAGCGGTATCGCGAAGGGCCAGAGCGATCCGATGGGCTTGCTGAAAGCTGTCCAAAGCTTTGTTGAAACCAGCCAGTTCCAAGTAAACGGAACCAACGGTAAGATGAACATGCCCAGCCGTGGCACAGAGCTCGCACTTATTGTATAATGAATGCCGTGCGAAGTTCAAAGCTCTGAAATGTTGCAGGTTTTGTTAGAATTTACTGCTGAAAGTCTACTTGCCGCTCCAGTTCCCCTAGTCGCAGGTGTGCCTTGGCCAGGTTCAAGTAGGACTCCGCCCTTAGGCTGGGGCTGTCGAGCTCTTCGGAAATGTACAACTGACGATGGGAGTATTCCAAAGCGTCCCTAGGAATAGCGAATTCAAAAGCTTAGGAGCAAGAAAAATTACGATCTTTTTGTCAAATTACGAAAATTTTTGATACTAAGAAAGTACTCTTCTACAATTTTTTGATGAAAAGTCAAAGCGGCAATGATGTTTATTGTCATTGACAGTTACAGGTAGACAGCGTTTGTCAAACTGTCGCTTATTTTGAAGCTCCTGTCACAAAATTTTTAGTTGGAAGAAGGTTAAATTTAAATGGTTTAGGAGTTACACAGCAGAAGCATTTGTCGCATCAGGCAAAAATTTTATATGAGGGCGTTAAAAAGTTAAAACGAGCTATTCAAAGAC